GTATTATCGTAATTTTTTTAAAAATAAATTGAAGTCAGGAAAAGGTTTGCAGACTCGAAAAAAAAATACAAAACAAATTTTTTGGCAAGATTTAGAATCATGCTTTAATTCTCGTATTTTTACAGGAATAATTGTTAACAATAATATTAAAAATGTTGATATATTCTTTAAAAAAGCATATCGTAGTTTTGCTACTAAAATTAAAAACGTTTTAACTTTGGGTCTTATAAAAGTTAATTCGATTTTATATGCTAATTTTGTTCAACCTAGCACTCGCGAAACAGATTTAAAACATTTTACAACCGCAAATGCAGTAATTGATTTGGAAACCAATTTAAAAAAATGGTTTTATGAGAATATAGTAGATAAAATAAATGTTAAATTAGAAGATTTTCAAGAACGCGATAGCGGTTGGTCTTTATTAGAAATTGCAGGTTTAAAAATAAATATAAATAAATATTGTCCCATAAGTATTGGTACCTACACAGATTTGCCTCAAAATATTAAAATTAAAAATGCGGTGGTAAACATTAAAAATAATGACGAATATTGTTTTTTGTATTGCATACTGGCAGCCCTTTTCCCTAAATTGCATAACCCAAATCGCCCATCGAGTTATAAAAAATTATTTTCACGGTTAAATTATAAAAACATACATTTTCCTATAAAATTAAAAGATATAAAAAAATTTGAAAAATTAAATAATTTATCAATTAATGTTTATTCCATTGAAAATAATTTTGTTGTACCAATTGTTTTAAGTAAGAATAAAACGCAAAATAAAGATTATATAAATTTGTTAGCAATACCATCATCAAACGATAATTTTCACTTTACATTAATAAAAAATTTATCTCGATTAGTTTCAAACCAAATTTCAAAACATAACGGTAAAAAATTTATTTGTTATAGATGTATAAATTCTTTTTCACGTCAAGATTTACTAGATAAACATTTGGAAACCTGTTTTAATATTACTGAATGTAAAACAATTGTGCCTAGTAAGGGAGAAAATATATTAAAATTTACTCAATATCATTCCAAACAGAAAGTACCATTTGTAGTTTATGCCGATATAGAATGCATTTTAGAATTATGTGATAATAATTTAAATAAAAACTCATTCAATGTTCACAAACATATTCCTTTTAGCGTTTCATATTATCTTAAATGTTCATACGATAATTCTTTATCTAAATTTAAGTTGTATCGAGGAAAGGATTGTATAAAATGGTTTGTTTCAGAATTAAAAAATATTGCATTAAAATTTAAAAATATTACTGAAACAAAAATCGATCCTTTAACAAATTCTGAAAAAGATTTATTTAAAAATGCTACTCATTGTCACATTTGGGAGGAACCTTTTAAACTCAATGAAGAAAAAGTTAAAGACCATTTTCATCTTGCCTCAAATTGTAATGATATAAACTCTAAAAAAACAAATTACAGGGGTCCGGCCCATAGCTTGTGTAATTTACAATTTAAAAAAATTCAAACTATTCCAGTAGTTTTTCACAATCTTAGTAATTATGATTCTCATTTTTTAATTAAAGAATTACTAAATCAATATGAAGGATATTTAAATGTATTACCAAGCAATAAGGAAAAATATATTTCTTTTTCAAAATTTGTTAAAGAAGCTCAAATTTATCTTAGATTTATAGATTCGTTTAGATTTTTACCTGAAAGCTTAAGTACATTAGCATCACAGTTGGAAGACTCTGAAAAAATAATTACTAAAGCAAATTGTAAAAATGAAGAAGAATTTGATTTAATATGTAAAAAAGGGGTATTTCCTTATGAATATATTGACTCTTGGGATAAATTAAATGAAGATAAATTACCAGAAAAAAATCATTTTTATAGTTCTTTAAACGATTCAAATATTACGGATGAGGAATATGAAACAGCATTAAAAGTTTGGCGAGTTTTTAATATTAAGAATTTAGGAGACTATAGCGATTTATATTTAAAAACTGATGTACTTTTATTATCAGATGTATTTGAAAATTTTCGTAAAACTAGTTAAAACATATAAGCTTGATCCCACAAATTTTGTTAGCGCCCCATCATTTTCATTTCAGGCAATGTTAAAAACAATAGATTATGAATTAGAATTATTAACTGATATCGATATGTGTATGCTTATAGAAAAAGGTATAAGAGGGGGGGTTGTTCAATGCAGTAAAAGATATTCCAAGGCAAATAATAAATATATGACTGAATATGATCCATCTTTACCTGATAATTATCTTATATTATTAGATATCAATAATTTATATGGCAGCAGCATGAGTACGTATCTACCTTATAAAGATTTTGAATGGGTAGATCCAGACTTAATTGATGTTACAAAATTACCAGAAAATAACTCTGACACAGGGTATATTTTAGAAGTAGATCTTGAGTATCCCAGGCATCTCCACAGTTTGCATAAAGACCTTCCTTTTTGTGCAGAGCATTTAACTCCCCAAAATTCAAAATCAAAAGAAAAAAAGCTTTTAGCTACATTAAATAATAAAGAAAAATATGTTATTCATTGTACATTATTAAAGCAAGCAATAGAAAATGGGCTTGTTGTTAAAAAAATACATAGGGTTATTAAGTTTAAACAAGCACCTTGGTTAGAAAAGTATATTTCACTAAACATAGAATTAAGAAAAAAATCTATTTTTAAATCCGAACAAAATTATTATAAGCTTCTTATTAACGCTATTTTTGGAAAAACACTTGAAAATGTCCGAAAACATAGAATTATAAAAGTTGTTAATACGTGGAAAAGTGCAGAAAAATATATTGCCAAACCAAACTTTTATAATTCTGTTATTATAGATGAAAATATAATTTTAATAGAGTTAAAGAAAACTGAAGTAACCATAAATAAACCAATTTATGCTGGCATTTCTATTTTAGATATATCAAAAACATTTCTTTATGATTTTCATTATAATTTTATTAAAAAAGAAATTCCAAATAATTCAAATTTGTTGTATACAGATACAGATAGTTTAATTTACGAGATTATTAATAATGATGTATATGATATTATAAAACGCTTTCCTCATAAATTTGATACATCAGAATATCCAAAAAATAATGTTTTTAAAATTAAACAATTAAATAAAAAGGAGTTAGGTCTTATGAAAGATGAAAATTGTGGTAAAATTATGACTGAATTTGTAGGTCTTAAAGCTAAAATGTATTCATATAAAGTGGAACCACAAACTAGTATTAAAAAAATAAAAGGAGTTCGAAAACCAGTAATTCGACAAATTACATTTAATGATTTTTTAGAATGTTTAAATAATTGTACAACTATAATTAAACCTCAATATTTAATTTCTTCAAAAAACCATCAGGTTTTTACCACCCGTCAAAAAAAATGGTTTTATCTTCTAACGACGATAAAAGAGTTATACTAGAAGATGGTATTAATACATTACCATGGGGTTATAGTTTAGAATAAAAATTGTATCCCACTTCTTTTTATTTTTATTTAAATATAGTTTAATATATGATAATTGAAGTAGTTTTGTGTTAGACGTTACTAAACAAACATGCAATCAGTAACAGTGTTTCTAGTGTTATCTTCTGTTTTAAATAATACTTTATACATCAATTACCCAAAATATACTGAAAAATGCTTTATTACTTATAATATAAAAAATGCTGTACTCGATGAGAGATGGTCTCAAGGTTGGAAAGAAATGAATAAACAAAATGAAGCATGTTCGTTCGATGTTGAAAATAGTAATTTTATATATTTTAAAGTTTGATATTTACTAAATAATAAGTATTATAAATTTATTGACACACTGCAAACTGTACCAATTAATTCAACTGCTTTAAATAATTATATGATGACCATCAAATCTAAATTAAATGTTTATAAAATAACATCTCTTTTGTTAGGTATTTGTTGTTTAAGTTTTGTATTATTAATTATTATTTTATACTACTCGTATTTTGTAACAATGAAAAGGTATTAAATAAAATAATTTAAATAATGTTCAATACATTTATTATAATACATCTTTTTTATCAATCCACTGCCTATCATTAATACCAAACCATTTTACATAAACCTTTGTTCCTTTTCTTCTTAGTATTTTTTCTACAAGATAAACATCCGGAAACTTAGCTTTTTGCAGCTCATATTCATAAAATCCTCCTAAAATTGGATGCCCATATTGATCATCTAAAATATATGTAGTGGGATTAGTTAATTTAACTTTTTTAACAATAAAAATTTCGTTGGACCAATTTGGTGTGTAACCTTTAGAAAATGCCTCTCGATACTTGCTTATTCTAACCTTATCACCAACTTTAAATTTATTTAATAAACTACATGTTTTTATATGATTAAACTTGTCAAGAATATATTTTTCATTTCTTTTATTAACATCAACAGGTTTCATTTTTGTAGTTCCATGTTTTGTTAAATTATATTTTAAAACTATTTCAGGCAATAATTTAATCCATTTGTAATTACCTTGATAGCTAAACTCTTTCCACATTAAAGATTTTAAAGTTCTATTTACTCGTTCTACAATTGAAGCTTTTACAGTGCTAAACGTGGAATAATGATTAATTTTTAATTTATCCATTAAAGTCTTAAATTCTTTATTATAAAATTCCTTTCCCATATCAGTCTGCATATGTTTTGGATAATTATTTTTCAAAATTTTATTCATTGCTTGTGTAATTTCCTTACCAGATTTATTTTTTACTGGCAAAGCCCATACAAATTTACTAAATGTATTAATTACAACAAGTATATACTTATACCCACCGTTTTGTTTAGAAAAAGCCTGCATATCTACTAGATCTGATTGAAATGTATCGTTTAAACCTTTAATAATAACATGTCTACGTTTAAAATTTTTTCTAGCTGGTTTGTGCAATTCATTAATTATTTCTCTTTTAAAATCAATTATTTTATTCATATTTTACAACTAAAACCTTTAAAGGTTTTACTACTAATGAATAATTTAAATTAATTATTAAATTATATTTGCTTCTTTTAATTCTTCAATTATACTAACGATTTCGTTGTTATGATTGTCATTTCCTGCAAATTGTGATGCCATTAGGATCATCCCAATGTACGTATTCAAAGGGTTTATTATTATATTGCATTAATAAACCACGACCGCGACGTGTTGTGGAGGTTGTTGCTCTGTCATTTTCCTCATCATCATAATATTCTGCGAGACGTTTGGGTTGAGGTAATCTTATCTTTGATACTTGTTTTTTTTGTTTTTCTTTTGATTCTTTAACAATTTCATCAAGTAAAGGTTTAATTACATACTTATACTTTTCACCTCTATTACCGGCTGTTTGTTCATTCGCAATAAAATTTCTTTTATGTGCATTGGTGCTTTGCATAATATTTTTAAAATTTTCTCTATCTTCTGGAGTTATTAAACTTTCGTTTGGTCTATTTTTAAACAATAACTCATATAATCCATAAGTACCTTTATATATTTTATCTTTAACAAGCATTGTTTTTCCTTTTATAACAACATCATTTCCTTTAAAATCCATTTCTGAATCCCCAAAACGAAATTTTGATGTAATTACATCATAATTTAAATAATGAGTATCAAATATAGATTCAGTGTCTCGTATATATTTTTTAACGTATTCACGAGGTATTTCATCAAAATCTTCTAAATACAAATTAAAAGACTCATCTCGATTTATATAATCCCCAATATCTTGATAATTCTGTTGGCTAATACTGTCATCATAAATATAACTGCCTTGTAATGCATCTTGTAACGTATGATCTGCTATATTTGAATATTCAAATGTTTCATCATGTTTTACAGGGCTGGTTCCAAAGTCCCTTTTATTTGTTTTTATAGGACTGGTTCCAACATTTTTTTTATTTGTATAGAATTTTTTTTCTTTTTCGTCTTCTTCTGCATCTTTTTTCTCCTCTTTTTTAATACTTTCTAATTTTACTTTTGGTTCATTTTGTTGAACAGAATAGGAAATTAATTGTTTAAAGGGTTGTAAAACATGTTCCGTTTGAAATCTATTTAGTTTTAATGCTTTTAATTTAGTTTTAATATCTTTTCTTTTTTTAATTAATTTTTTTGTTATTGTTTTTTGATCCATGTTAACTACTATTAACAACAATTTTATTATAACTGATGAATAAATTATTATTTTTTATATTTATAGTAATACAAAACCTCATCTGTTAAAAAAAAAACCGACTGCTGTTTTTACAGTAAAACAGGTATTTAAACAGCCAGTTTTATTAAAACAGCATGCTGTTTAAATAGTTAACCAGCTGTTTAAATATGCAGTGTGGAAGAAAAAACAGTTATGAAAATATAAAAGAATCAAATCCCTTTCTATAACGACCATAATTAATATCACAATCTTTGCATATAACTAAAAACCCATATTTGTCTTGCCAACACTTTGAACACATTTTTAAAAAATTATTTAATGAAATATCTGTATTAACATGATCTTTGTAAATATGTTTTAAATTCATTTCATCTTGTTTAAAAATAATTAACATATTTGCATTGTCTCTAATCAAATGTTTTGGTATATGAGCATAAGTTTGAGTTAAGTAAAAAGAGTCAATAAGGTTATGCCTACCCATTGCAAAAAAATCTCTAATAACACTTTGTTTTTCACATGCAACATCATCAAATATAAAAATCGAATTGGGTTTAGCATCAGAAGGGTTTACTATATTTTCATTATCACTATATTCATAATATTTAATTTCTTTAATAGGTTTTAATAATTCTTTCAAATAAACATAAATTGGTTGATATAATGATTTAGAATAAACATACACATTTTCAAAACGTAAACCATTAACATCTTCAAGCAAATTTAGCATAACATTTGTTTTTCCACAGTTAGAGGGGCCTGCTATTATACATCTAATTGTACTAGGCAACAAAATTCCATGCCTAAGTAGTTTATTATTATTCGCAAAATCAAATTTTGTAACCGGTAATTGACACTTTTGTTTAACTATTCGCATGTTTAACAACTAAATATATTTTTGATTTACATCTTCTTATATAAATAAAACCACTATTTATAAATTAATTAGTTTAATAAAATCAATAGATTAGGAAAAATCAAATTTGATAAATAAGTAAACATAAAAGTATGCAACTCATTTGTAAAAAAACAGTCAAACGAAAAGGTAGCGGTCTCTTAAATAAATTAATAAATAAATTACCCTTTGAGGCACATATTCCTGGTGGGTATAGATTTTGTGGTCCTGGAACTAAGCTTAATAAACGATTAGCACGAAACTATCAAGGTATTAATCAGTTAGACGAAGCGTGTAAAGTTCATGATATTGCTTACTCAAAATTTGATAATTTAGAACAAAGACACGAAGCAGATAAAATTTTATCGGATAAGGCATGGAAAAGAGTAAAATCTAAGGATTCTAGTGTAGGGGAAAAACTTGCTGCTCTAGGTGTTACAGCAGCTATGAAAACAAAAGTTAAACTTGGAATGGGTGTTAAACATAAAAGTAGTGGTAAAAAAAGACGTAATAAAAATAAAAATAAAAATAAACACACATTAGGTAAAGGTATTACTTTTAATAAAGCTCTTAAAAATGCTAATAAAGCACTTAAAAATAATGGTAAAGGTAAAGATATAAATTCTGCTATTAAAATAGCAATGAAAGAATTTAAAAAAATTAAAAGAAATAAAAAATATCCTAGAGTTATTTCATTTCCTAAAACAGGTGGTTTTTTACCACTGATTCCAATATTTGCAGGTTTATCTGCGTTAGGGGCTTTAGCAGGTGGTGCTAGCTCAATTGCAAGCGCTGTTAATAAAGCAAAAAGTGCACAAGACGAACTTAAAGAAAAACAACGACATAATGAAAAAATGGAATCTATAGCTATGGGTAAAGGATTATTTGTAAAACCTTATAAAAAAGGATACGGACTATTTGTAAACCCTTATTCATATTATAAAGGAAAACAAAATTTTTTATAAATAGACTACCAAAACGTCCACTAACTAATGTTGATTTGTTAAAAAATACTAAAAATTTATCAAATTTTCGTGGAATATTTATGAGAGATAATTTACCATTTAAAATTTATAAAAATGAAAATGGTATAATTAATCTTGACAGTCAAGTCAATTCAGGCAGTCATTGGACTGCTTATGTTAAAAAAGATAAAAATGTTTTTTACTATGATAGTTTTGGTAATCTTAAACCTCCTAATGATGTTGTAAAATACTTTAAAAGTTCAGGTCCCATAAAAATATTTTATAATCATACTCGTTATCAAAATTTAAATTATAACTGTGGTCATTTATCTCTTCAATTTTTATATAATAATGTTTAATATTATATTTTATATTTAGTTAATTATTACAATTTCGATGATGAAGACGTTTAGTTTTACTTCAACCCAATCAATTATTAGTGCAGATTTTAATCCACCTATTGATTTAAGAGAATATGCAAATGATTTTGTTATAGGTTTGCTTAGCTTAGAAGTTTATAATGCTATACCAAACATATCTCAAGGTAATAATAAATTTTACATTGGAAATGAAGCTATTGAAATTTCTACAGGAACTTATGATGTGGATAATATTAATGATTTTATAAATTTAAAATTGGATGAATTAAAAAAAGTAAAAGGTATAACTTTCAGCGTATATATTAGAGCTAATTTAAATACTTTAAAATGTGTTATAAGATCCAATCAAGATATTGACTTTAGTAAAGACGATTCGATAGGTAATTTATTAGGTTTTGGTAAAGAACTTTTAGCAAAAGACATACATCATGAATCAAAAAACCCTGTAAATATTATGAAAGTAAATTCAATTAAAATTTTATGTAATATAGTCAGCGGTTCCTATGAAAATGGAATCCCGGCACATACTCTTCACGAATTTTTTCCCACCGTTCCTGCAGGGTTTAAAATTGTAGAGTCACCACAAAATGTTATTTATTTACCAATTAACACAAATTTTGTAACTAATTTAACCTTTAAAATAGTCGACCAAGATGGAGATTTACTTAATTTTAGAGGAGAGACCATAACGTTAAGAGCTCATTTAAAACCTCTCTCGAACAATGGTTTTTAAATATAATAAATCTGCACCAGACACTAATTTTAGTGTTAAACCAATAGCTTAACGGTTAACATCCTCCAAACAATTAACATTTGCTAATCTTGAATACCTCAAGTCTTTGGGGTTTAAAATAAAAAACAACCACAACTATGAATATATTAAACGTAACTGATAGAGCTTTTTTTGATTATTCACTAGTAAACGTAGAAAAACATTCATATTTACCATATGTTTCCAACTCGTTTAATAACAATGACGAAATTAGAATTCCAATTAATCAATCTGATTTGTTTACTCATCCAAGTGAGAGTTTTATATACATCGAGGGTAAATTATTAAAAGCAGATGGAACAATATCCACAACAGCTAAATTAGTTAATAACTTTTTTGCACATTTATTTGAAGAAATACGTTTAGAAATCGGTGGTAAAGTAATAGACCGTGTAAAAAATCCTGGAACAACTACTACTTTAAAAGGTTTAGTTTCATTTAATAAAAACGAATTAGAACGTTTAAAAAATGCTGGGTGGAATATTGATAGCGGAGAATCTTTATACGAAGTTCATAGTAGCACAGGATGTTTTAATGTATGCGTACCATTAAAAACTTTATTTGGTTTTGCAGAAGACTTTAAAAAAATTATTATAAACTTGAGGCAAGAGTTAACGTTAATACGAAGTAATTCTGATCAAAATGCAATTTATAACACATTAAAAACTGAAACAAATAAAATTGAAATAGGTAAAATAGTTTGGAAGATGCCTCATATTTCTGTTGCTGATGAAGAAAAATTAAAGTTATTTAATTTGTATGAAAGTGGTAGAGAATTTGAAATTGGGTTTAGAAGTTGGGAAATGTTTGAATATCCTTTGTTACAAAAAACTCAACACCATACTTGGAGTGTTAAATCAGCAACGCAGCTTGAAAAACCTCGATACATTATTGTTGCTTTTCAAACTGATCGTAAAAATGATTTATATAAAAACAATGGATATTTTGATAACATATTTTTAAGGAATATAAAATTATTTTTGAATTCCGAACAATTTCCATACGATCAGCTTCAGCTGCAATTTGATAAAGACCAATATTCTTTATTATATGAAATGTATTCAAATTTTCAACAATCATATTTTGAAAAAGAAAACGAACCTCTTTTATCTCCTCAACAATTTTTAAAAATGGCTCCTATTGTTGTAATAGATTGTTCTAGACAAAATGATGTTCTAAATACTGGTACTGTTGATATTAGGTTAGAATGGGAAACAAGTAGAGATGTTCCAGATAAAACATCTGCCTATTGCATTATTTTACATGATCGTATTATTCGCTATATTCCTCTAACAGGAATAATTAATTCATTATAAGCAAACCAATTATGTTTAAAATAAAAATATATGTTTTATTTTAATAAAATTAAATATAAGAATAGAATTAGGTACCTATACAAATAAATTAAAGGTGAGAACCTCCCCACCTTTAATTTATTTTTTTATTTTTTAGGTTTAAATACTAACTCTTTTTTATAAGTTGGTTTAATGTTTGTTAAGTTTTAGAAAAGACAACATGTCCTTATTTTATATAGCTTACGACATTGCTAAACCTTTAACAATTCAAGATATTACTAGATTAGTACAATGTTTTCAATCCACCACTCCATTTCAAGATTTACATGATTTAGAAGAGGAATGGTATGCAAGTGTGAGCAATTTTTCATCTTTTGTGCTGGAAGAACAGTTGGTAAAAGAACAAAAACAACAGGAAAACACAATTGTTAAACAATATGAAAATAGGGATATGGAATATAACATTGAACATGATTTAAACAACTATTTAGATTTTACACAAAGTATATAAATTTTATATTTCTTTACTTAATAAAATTTTAAAATAATTTTTGATTTTAATTTAAACCCGTTTAGTAGTTGCAAAGATTTAGGAAAAATATATTATTGAATAATATACATTAAAATGAACTTGAGAAACATAAAGGTATGTGTAAACATTTTTTTAAATCATGTTTATTTTAATAAATAAAAACCTTTAATTTTATTAAACTATTTATTTTTAAATTGAAATATAATATAAAAT